TGGAACAAGTGAGTTAATGGCATACTAACATAGGAAGGGGGAAATTTTCCAGGAGTCCCACACCTGGACAAGGAACTACAGACAACTAATTATTCCTGGGAGAAGGAGAATTAGCCTCCCCCAGTGATAAGCCCCTTATTGATTATTCAATACAGAGTGGTAAGACTTGAAACTATATACAGACAAAAAAATATACACACAGGTGGAAAAAAAGCTCAACATATATATATTGATATATATTTTTGTATATATACAAACTTCACACACACATAAATATGCACATATTCTTAATTGTTGATGTTGCAACAATAATATGGTTATTATATGTTATAATATAATAATGTTGATACACACATATACATATATATATACATATATGTACTCATATGTGGGGAGGTATAACAATGATAAAGAAATAGAGATTGTTGGCTTGAGCATGGTTATGTGAGATCAGCTGGAGGAAGGAAGGGGAAAAGGAAGTAATGTAATTCAATTTCAAATAAACACAGTTTTTAAAAGCTGATATCACTGTAGAATGTACAATCATTGTCATTCAAACCTGGAAAGGGTAAGGAAATGGAGGTGTAAGAGATTTTTTTTTTCATTTTTCTTTATTAAGAAAATGTTTGAAAACACAGTTATCTAGGAGAAACAGTCCTAGTAGGAAAACTCGGGTTTAAAACAGTTTGCTTGTAGTGACAGAAGCCTTTAATCCTGGGATTTGTTAAGCAGAGGCAGGCTGATCTATGAGTTCAAAACAAGCCTAGTTTACAAAGCAAGTTCCAGAACAGTGAGAGTTACAGAGAGAAACTATGTCTTGAAAATCAAAATAAATAAATAACTAAATAAAAACAATTTACAGTATGCTTTTGAAAGAACTGGAAGAGATCAGCAATAGGTTCCAACTTGAATAGTTTACATATTGAAATACACTGGAGCACATGAAATGTACAGTTATCACATTTCAATTAGCAAATGTTAAAGAAAATTAAAATTGTGATTTCTTTTTTAAATTTTATAATTTAAATTAATTTTACATATCAGCAACAGATTCCCCTGTCTTCCCTCCTCCCATCCCTCCCTGCCTTCCCCCCAGTACACCCCCCATTCCCATCTCCTCCAGGGCAAGGACTCCCCCTGGGGATTCAGCCCAGCCTGGTAGATTCATTTGAGGCAGGTCCAGTCCCCTACTCCCTCCATCCAGGCTGATCAAAGTGTCCCAGCATAGGTCCCAGGCACCAAAAAGCTAGCTCACACAATAAGGACAGGTCCTGGTCCCACTGCCTGGGGGCCTCCCAAACAGATCAAGCTAATCAACTGTCTCACTTTTCCAGAGGGCCTGATCCAGTTGGGGGCTCCTCAGCTATTGGTTCATAGTTCATGTGTTTCCACTAGTTTGGCTATTTGTCCCTGTACTTTTTCCAATCATGGTCTCAACATCTCTTGCTCATACAGTCCCTCCTCTTTCTGGCCTATTGGACTCCCGGAGCTCCACCTGGGGCCTGGCCATGGAACTCTGCATCTGCTTCTATCAGTCATTGGATGAGAGTTCTACCATGACAGTTAGGGTGTTTTGCCATCCAGGCACCAGAGTAGGTCAGTTTGGGCTTTCTCTCGACCATTGCCAGCAGTCTATTGTGGAGGTATCTTTGTGGATTTCTGGGGACCTCTCTAGAACTTTGCTTCTTTCTATTCCCATGGGGTATTCATTTATCATGACCTCTTATTCCTTGTTCTACCTCTCTGTTCTTGATCCAGCTGGGATCTCCCACTCCCCTAACCTCTCTTTCCCCTGACCCTTGCCCTTCATCATCCCCCTCCTCATGTCCAGTTTGCTCATGTAGATCTCATCCATTTCTCTGTCATTGAGTGAACCCTGTGTCTTTCTTAGGGTCCTGTTTTCCAGGTAGCCTCCCTGGAGTTTGAGTAGCAGTCTAGCCATCCTTTGTTTTACATCTAGTATCCACCTATGAGTGAGTATGTACCATGTTTGTCTTTCTGAGTCTGTGTTACCTCACTCAGGATGATTTTTTCTAGATCCATCCATTTGCCTGAAAACCTCATGATGTCATTGTTTTTCTCTGCTGAGTAGTACTCCATTGTGTATATGTACCACATTTTATTTATCCATTCTTCAGTTGAAGTGCATCTACGTTGTTTCCAGGTTCTGGCTATAACAAACAATGCTGCTATGAACAAAGCTGAACATGTGCCCTTGTGGTATGATTGAGCATTCCTTGGGAATATGGCCAAGAGTGGTATAGCTGGGCCTTGGGGGAAGATTGATTTCCAACTTTCTAAGAAAGCACCATATTGATTTCCAAAGTGGCTGTACAAGCTTGCATTCCCACCAACAGTGGAGGAGAGTTCCCCTTGCTCCACATCCTCTCCAGCATTAGCTGTCTTCAGTGTTTTTGATCTTAGCCATTCTGACAGGCTTAAGGTGGTATATCAGTGTCATTTTGATTTGCATTTCCCTGATGATTAGGGATGTTGAGCAATTCCTTAAATCTCTTTCAGCCATTTGTGCTTCTTTTGTTGAGAATTCTGTTTAGCTCTATAGCCCATTTCTTAAGTATTTGTATGACAAGAACTTTAAGTCCCTGAAAAAAGAAATTGAAGAAGATGTCAGAAAATGGAAAGATCTCCCATGCTCATGGATAGGCAGGACCAACATAGCAAAAATGGCAATCTTACCAAAAACAATCAACAGATTCAATGCAATCCCCATCAAAATCCTAACACAATTCTTCACAGACATGGAAAGAACAATAATCAACTTCATATGGAAAAACAAAAAACCCAGGATAGCCAAAAGAATCCTGTACAATAAAACAACCTCTGGAGGCGTCAAGATCCCTGACTGCAAGCTCTACTACAGAGCTACAGTAATGAAAACAGCTTGGTACTGACATAAAACTGACATGTGGACCAATGGAATCAAATTGAAGACCCTGACATTAATCTGCACACCTATGAACTTATAATTTTTGACAATGAAGCCAAAACTGTACAATGAAAAAAAGAAAGCATCTTCAACAAATGGTGCTGGCATAACTGGATGTCAAAATGTAGAAGGCTGCAAATAGATCCATATCTGTCACCATGCACAAAACTTAAGTCCAAATGGATCAAAGACCTTAACATAAATCCAGCTACTCTGAACCTGATAGAAGAGAAAGTAAGAAGTAGTTTTGAATGCATTGGCATAGGAGATCCCTTCCTAAATATAACACCAGTAGCACAGACACTGAGAGCAACAATTATTAAATGGGACCTCTTGAAACTGAGAAGCTTTTGTAGAGCAAAGAACACAGTCAATAAGACCAAATGACAGCCTACAGAATGGGAAAAGATCTTCACCAACCTCACATCTGACAGAGGGCTGATATCCAGAATATATAAAAAACTCAAGAAATTAGACACCAAAATGCCCAAAATTGTGGTTTCTAAGTAAAACATTAAATTTTCCTTGGAAACATGTTAATTCACAGCAACTGTAATTTACCTGCACAATACTTGCACAGGGTTAGTGCCACTATTTGCCATTGTGAAAACAGGAGAAATTTACAAGACTTCATTCCACTCTGAGGCTTTATAGGAAGTTAATAATTTCTGGGGTGGGGAAGATAAACTTTTTCAGTGGTGTAGCCACTGGTGATCCATGTTCCAGGAAATAAACCTTTACCATGGTCCTGTAAAATATCCTAATTACTCAAATTATTTTCAAACAAATTAAAAACACATGAAAGTATAAGGGAAAGTAGTTGGACAGAGGATGATTAGCAGGAATGTGAGAGCACAAGAGAGGACAATGGAGGGGAGTACAAAGTATACACGTGTATGAAAATGTTATAATGACATCCATTATGTATAAAATGTAAAAGAAAAGGGATGGAAAAATGACTGAATAATTAAAAGTACTTTTTGCTCTGGAGAGGACCCTGATTTAGTTCTGCCATCCATATAACAGTTCACAACTGTGTTTATCTCCAATTCCAGGAGGTCCAACAACCTCTTCTGACTTCCATGGGGACCAGGATGTATGGTCCATACATATATGCAGATAACACACACAAAAAATGAAATAATTTTTATAAGAAGATGGTAAAACTTACTTGATATATGATATATATACATGAAAGTGTTTTATTTTGTTCATTCAAAATTCAAGAAGTATATATCATAAACATTTTGATATTCTTAAAATAAAGAACATATCAGATGAAGGTATAAGTTAGAGTTATTTATCTTTACATTCAATTTCTCATTTCTCTATAACCCTAGTATATAGCCTGATGTGTGCATGATAGAAATAAAACTCTACCACATTTGGCTGCTGGATCAAAGGCCAAAATACTAAGTACCTAATAAAAGTCTTCTCATTTTAATATGACAATTTCTTTTGCACCTTAACTCTTTACTAACCATAAGTCCCCACAAATAAGTCTCTCATTTTGAGTTCTCCATAAGAATAAAATTCATAATAATAAGTACAAGAAAAAGTCATTTCACCTTCTAAAACACCAACATAATTATTCTCATAATTATAAGGGTAAATATGTTTCATAACTTTTCATGTAATTCAACACACCTGAATGTGAGAGACAGTTACACTACAAGACCTTTGAGACTTAGCTGTTTGGCAGTTCTATAACCTTGTCTGAAGAGAAAAATGATGTAATACAGTTTCTACAATCAGAAGACAAATATCAGACCCGAGAAAATGTAATTCTCTAATGTGGAAAAAACATTTGAATGGATCTAGCCATTACATGAAATGTTCCTTAAACTAGAACTGCCAGATTTAGCAAATAAAAATAGCAGGTTGATAAATTTCATGAGGTAAATGACTGTAATAAAGTTATTCATCGATGGAAATTGAAGCCTAATGGTAACTGTACTTACAAGTCAGTTTTTTAAAAAATGTATGGATAAATTTGATTTCTGCAACTAGTTGGTTGTGTTTTCACTGGTCAATAACTTGTGTCTCATTACAGGTGTCGTGGGAGCTATGGGAGTACTTCTTGTCACACACTGTGTTGTCTTGTACCTTCTTCAGATGGTAGCACTGAGTTCAGGTATGACTCTCACTTTCCCTTATGAGTCTTAGCAATGTCATGTATGCTCCCAAAATCAAGGTACAGTAAAAGGACAGGGTATTGAAATCATTGTCCCTAAAGTTTGAATGTAGCAATGAAGTGAGGACAGTCACAAGAGTATCCAGCTTAGAGGAGTAAATAATTTTGTCTAATCAGCAAATAATCTTTCCTTGGGTTTGTTTCAGCTTCCAGGAAGAAAGTGCAATGAAAGAGATAGAGCACTTGCCTTGAGAACTCAACATTTGTACTGAATGCACAGGACTTACATATCACGTTTACACTGAGGAGTAGGTATAGGCTGCAGATACATATTAAAATCCATCTGAGACAAGAATACAATAGGGAGAAAAGATGAGGGAAGGGGAAATGGCCTAGGATAATGAGAGTTTTGACATTATAGAGACATCTATGCAAAGCACAAATGAATACAGGTTACTTAAAGACATCTAAAAGACTTAGACAGTAAATGATATGTAAGTTGTAGAATATTGTATCAAAAACTCATTGTCTAGTGATAAAATCTCAATGATGCACATTTACTTGGTTTCCATACTGATTAGACTCATTCTTGGCACTGAAAGTTTCATTTGGCAATGAGAGATATCCAGTTGTGGCTTTGTCTCCCCCATTACTTGGCAATTTTATGTGGATTACTTCATATACATATGAAGCAATTTTAGTATTCTACTACTATATTTGGTTTCCATGTGACTCCTCAAATCAGCCTTAGTTTTAGCTGCTCCAGGGCCCCATCTTCATTTTCCTTTTCCTTTTGATTTTCCCATTACATCCCCTGTCCATACATAGCTACATAAATTATTTTCCTTTTAAAGGAGTTCTATCCCTTTCCTAACACCTTACTCTATACCTAACCTCTGTGGATATATGATTGTAGGTTTTGTATTGAAGAAGTAAAAGGTAGCATCCACATAAAAGTGAATACGTACCATGCTTGTCTTTATGGGTCTGGATTACCTCACTCAAAATCATTTTTTTCTAGCTCCATTCATTTACCTGTGAATTTAATTTAATATTTTTAATAGCTGAGTAATAATATTCCATCCTATAGGTGTACAACATTTTCTTTATCCATTCATTCATTGAAAAACATATATGTTGTTTCTAATTTCCGAATATTACAAATAGAGCAGAAATTAACATGATTGAGTAAGTGTCTCTGAATTAGTACAAAGCATCCTTTGGGTATATGATCAAGAATAGAATAGCTAGATCATCAGGTAGAGCTATTCTCAGCTTCCAGAGAAACCACCACAGTGATTTCTTTCATGACTGTGTAATTTTGAACTCCCACTATCAATAGATGTTTGCGACTCTTACATCACATCCTAAACAGCATGAGCTTTCATTTTTTTATTGACAAGTGTAATTGAAGGGTGTAAGATGAAATCTGAAAGTGGTTTTGATTTGCATTTCCCTGGCAAAGGGTGTTGAACGTTTCTTTAAGTGTTTCACAGCCATTTGATTTTCCTCATTGAGAATTCTTTGTTTGGATCTGTACTCCATTTTCCATTGGGTTATTTGTTTTCTTGATGTATAGATTTTAATTTTTTTATATATTTTAGATATTAGCCCTCTATCAAATGGGTAATCGGTAAAAATCTTTGTCCAAATTATTCTGTTCTTTGCTTTGTAAAATCTTATCAGTTTTATGAGGTCCCATTTATTAATTGTTGTTCTTAGTCCCTACGCTGAAGGTGTTTGGTTCTGAAGGTTTTCACCTGTGCTAATGAGTTCAAGATTATTCTTCACTTTCTCTTCTATCAGATTCAGTATATCTAGACTTATGTTGAGGTCCTTGATCCATTTGGAGTTAAGTGTTGAGTGATAAGTATGGATTTATTTATATTTCTTTACATGTAGCCATCCAGTTTGAATAGCACCATTTGTTAAAGGTTGTTCTTTCTTCCAGTGTGTATTTATGATTCCTATATCAAAAAGTAGGTGTCCATAGTTGTGTGGACTACTTATGTTTGGGACTTCAATTTTATTTCAGTGATAAATGTGTCTGTTTTTGTTCATATACCATGCTGTTTTTATTACTGTAGCTCTGTAGTACAATTTCAGATGGAGAGTGATGATGCTTCCAGGAGTTCTTTTAATAATTAAGATTATTTTAGCTATCCTGGGTTTTTGTATTTTCATATATAGCTGAAAATTGTCCTTTTAAGACCCATGCAGAAGTATTTTAGGGCTGGGTGGTGGTGGCACATGCCTTTAATCCCAGCACTCAGGAGGCAGAGCCAGGCGGTTCTCTGTGAGTTCGAGGCCAACCAAAAAAAGCCCTAGACCAGATGGTTTCAGTGCCAAATTCTACCAGAATTTCAAAGGAGAGCTAATACCAATACTCTTCAAATTGTTTCACACAATAGAAACAGAATGAACAGCACCAGTTCTTTTATTAATTAATAATATTTCATTGAATGAATATATCAGAGTTGGTTTCTTCACTCAGTTATTGAAGGACATTTTGATTGCTTCCAATTTTTAGAAACTGGGAATAAAGATATTATTAACATTTGTGTATAAATTTCAATATTGACATACTTTTCAACTCATTTGAACTACATCTAGAATCAGGCCTATGGAAACAAAGTATGGCAAGCCCACATTTAGCACTGATAGAGAGTGCTAAACAGTCTTCCATAGAGTCTGAATCATTCTGCATTGCTCCCAACAATACACAATAATCCTATTATTCTCATCATTTGCCATCATTTCGTGTTGCCAAAGTTTTGGATTTCAGCTATTCTAATAATAGGTTGATAGCTTATAGTTGTTTTAATTCACAGTATTCTAATGAGACAATATTGAGCTAATATTCATATATTTACTGCAGAGCTCAGGCTATGCCCTGCTCCACTTTACATCTTGTGGAACAGTAGCTTTCAGGCTGAGTATTGCCCTGAGTGATTCTATTTCACAGTGCAGAAGTTTGTTACATTTTGAGTTCACATGCTAAGTCAAAATAACTGTAGACATTTGTGAAAGTAAAACATCATCACCAACCCAGTATGACTCTTGAGGAATAAAATTACAAATAACTTAATCAAACAAGTAAAGAAAATAAAACTAATGAATCAAAGTGGATGAGGAACACCTGGGCACATGGGCCTATCAAGACTATATCATAAGCTGGGCGGTGGTGGCACAACCCTTTAATCCCAGCACTTGGGAGGCAGAGCCAGGCAGATCTTTGTGAGTTTGAGGCCAGCCTGGTCTAAAGAGCGAGATCCAGGAAAGGCACAAAGCTACACAGAGAAACCCTGTCTCGAAAAAAAAAAAGACTATATCATAAAATGCAGGCCTGTTATTGAACATATCAGATCAATGGAGGTGGCAACCTTCTCATCTGTATCACACAAAAGGTGGAGGATTTAACATAAGTGAGCCACAGTGCCTGCCACACTCTCATCTACAAACCTTGTGCATGGATCACAAGACACACAGGCTGTGGATTGCCTAATGTCCCTGGAGCATCAGTTCAGCAGTCTCCAGTACATGACACAGCCTACTCATATTACCATTTTCCCTGACCTAGTCTTGCACATTGCCTTGATTTGCTTTCAATCTAGCCTGTCTTTGAAGTGGCTCAACACCTCCAGTAGGTCCTTAAAACCTTCTCTAACCATTTGTAGTAACACTTTCTGCTTCTGTATCAATTGTGTATTTAGTAATTAAAATAACTTTAGGATAAACAAAGTGATCTTAAGTCAAGTATGTGTGGATGCTTGAGGGGGCAGAAGATAGAAGAGGGAAAAACAGAGAGAATGACTTTAACAAAAGATGTGAACATGTTTACTACTTCACACTCTTTTATTTGGATTATTATTGTCCTTCACAGAACAATTCAGAGTGATTGGCTCAGAGGGGCCAGTCCTGGCTCCATTGGGTGGAACCCTTGAACTCAGTTGTCAGTTGTCCCCCCCACAACATGCACAGCACATGGAGATCCGGTGGTTCAGGAACCGCTATACTCAGCCAGTGCACCTGTACAGGGATGGTAAAGACATGCATGGACAAACTATCTCCAAGTATGTGGAGAGGACAGAACTCCTGAAAGATGCCATTGAAGAAGGAAAAGTGACCCTCAGGATTTTTAAAGTGACAGTTGATGATGATGGGCCATACCACTGCTTCTTCAAAGATGGTGAATTCTATGAAGAGCACATTACAGAGGTCAAGGTCACAGGTAAACATGGATTCCTCTGAATCTGTTGTGTGTACCCATGATTCAAAGCCTATGAATGGCTGAGTGGTTGGAAAAATCTTACTGTTAAATTCTAATTGTATGATTTGATTATCAAGCTGAATTCTATGCATTTAGTTTTTTAATTAAATGTCATGAAGACAAAAAATGAAAATTGCTAGAGTACAGCAACTGGTTCCATCAGTTAATACTTTCTTTTTATAGCTACATGCACTGTTAGATTTCTGACATATCATTAGATTTCTTTTAGGTTGTTTTGCTATGCTTTCAAATATTTCTGATAACACTATAGTAATTTTCCAAATCAACTGAATTTTAAAAATATACTTCTTACTAGAAAGTTGAGTGGTTGGGAGGTGGAAAGGATATGGGAGGTGGTGGGAAGAAGATAAACATGATCAAAATATATTGAATAAAAAATTTGAATTAAAAAAGAAAAACAATCTTTTTTCTCATGATACTTATTTCCATTTCTCTCCAAAGAAATTCAGTGACTACTTAGTACCTGATTAATTTTCCTAAACCTTTTTCAAAAGCTTTAACTATAATCATCATTATCCTGAGATATAATACTATATATGAAGTATAGGTAACAATATGGCATTTAATGTACTTTCCTCACTCTGAATTATTCTGGATGAAAAATAAGTGGAGGAAATGCAGAAGGTTTTAAGGAAAATGAACAAATCCATGAATGTGTGCACATACATGTAGGACTCTAGATCCAGATGAATCTTTATTGGATATCATGCAACATTCAACCCTATAGTCGAGAGAAGAGCTATACAATGTATCTCATTCCCATTTTTAGTAGTCTACTGTATTAGCACAGATACATAATATTTTTGTTATTACAGGGACATTGTACAAGGCAGAGTACTTTTGGTACAAAGCTTTAAATCTGTATTCATTCTTTCTTTGCCTATCCATTAGACAAGTTTTATGTCTCAGAAAATACCCTGAAAGTTTCAGATATGCTCATTTTCTCTGTAGATGAATTTCTGAACAGTCTTATTAAATAAATAAGAAACACAGAGACAAATACAGGGGTGAAAACCATAGAGATCAGAGAAACAATGAGAATCACCAGCTAGCCTTAGCTCACCATGCCATTATAGCTTCCCAAAAGAACCAGCTTTTTCCTGTCTAACCTGAGCCTTTATTGACTTGCTGTTTGGCCTTCTCATTGGCTCTTAGCCCAGCCACCTCACTTCCTCATCACTGCCTGTCTATATAGACCTCCAGGTCTCCACAGTTGGTACTGGGATTAAAGGCGTGTATTACCAAGCATGGCTGTGTCATTGAATGCACAGAGATTCTGCCTGCCATGTGATCAGATTAAGGGCGTGTGCTACCACTGCCTGACTTTTGTTTATGGCTGGCTATGTCCTCTGATCTCTAGGCAAACTTTATTTATTAACATACAAATAAATATCACCACATTCTCTAAATTTATATTTACTTTTCATACCATTAATGTATTGCATGTTTCATATGAAACTTATTTTATAAAATTTCCTACTATGGAAATAGGCAAAGTTTCAACTAAAGTTCCACAGTTGTGTTTATAATGAAATTCATTTTTATGAATTAATTTATAGTGGCTCGCAAATAATTAGTGACAATGATAGGAAAAATTTATAAATTCTATGAGCATCAAAATCTTGACTTTTGTTCATCATGATCCAAAGGCCAACTTAGTAAGTAATCAAAAATTATTTTAAATAAATGAATAAACAAGTGAAACAGGCATTTCCTTAGCTGACTTAGTTTGGATAGATTGCTGACTGTGTATTATAGCCTTTCCATCTGGCTCTTGCCATTTTCATGAGTTTTTTTTTAGTTTTTGTTTTTGTTTGTTTTTTTCAAGACAAGGTTTCCTTGTGTGACATCCCTGGCTGTCCTGGAACTAGCTCTTTATACCAGGCTGTCCTCAAACTCACAGGGATCCACTTGCCTCCCAAGTCTGGGATTAAAGGCCTGTGCCACCACAGCCCAGCATCATGAGAATCTTAGGGCAACCTGAGTTCTGTAGAGTTTTGACTATTTTATCTTTTGAAACTGGAATTAAAGCTGAAAAGAGTTTTTACTTTTCCCCTGTTTCCTCTTCTAAAATATTGTTTGCCTCTGTTGTTTTCAACTAGCCACAAGCTCAGACATACAGATTCTTATGCATCCCCCTAATATCAAAGGTGTGATGTTGGAGTGTCATGCAGGAGGTTTGTTTCCACTGCCTCATATGGAATGGAGAGACAGCAAAGGGGAAGTCATTCCAGCAACATCAAAATCCCATTCACAGGATATAAACAAATTGTTCAACATGACAATAGCCCTTCTTATCGAAACCAGTTCCCACAGGAATGTCACTTGCTATCTTCAAAACCATCTAACTCACCAAGAAGAGAGCATATGTGTCATCCTATCAGGTAAAATGTGTGTTTGTTCTTCGGTAACAGCCATTGTCACACATATTTACGTATCACTTCTTCCTTACTCTTGGCCTTACTCATCGCTTAAGTTGTTGTCTCTTACTTTCTTTGACTTATTTGTTTTCTCACTTTATAGTCTTGACCATTGTAGTTTGCTTTTCTGTCACTGTGATAAAAAATCATAAACAAAATGGAGTAGAGGAAAAGGCTATTTGGATTGCACTTCTACATCTTAGTGTTTCATCAAGGAAGCCCGAGAAGGAGATTAAAGTAGGAACTTGGAAGCAGGAACTGAAGTAGAGACCACAGAGCAATACTGTTCACTGGCTATCTCAGCTTTCTTTCTTATACAGCTCAGGAATACCTGCCAAGGATGGTACCACCCACCCCCAGGGGCCTGGGTCCTACCACATCAACCATCAATCAAGCAAATGTCACACACATGGCCTAAGTCTAATCAGATGGATGGAATTCCTCAATTGGGGTTTCTTCTTCCCAGATGAATCTAGTTTGTGTCAAGGCAACAAAAACTAACTGGCATATTGACAATGAAAGTTACAAGGCATAGCTTTTGAGGCCTTACTCTCTTCTGACTTCCTTTTATCTCATGGCTTTAAGTAACACCAGAACTGTCACTCTTCCTTAAGGTGTATCTCCTCCCTCCTTCTGCATTCATCTAAAAATTTGTAAGTCAACCCAAAATTCTAATAAATATTGTAAAATAACCATATCAAGAACTAAACTCAGTTACTCCAAAGCTTGCTTAATTTAATGCTTTGAAGTAGTATTTTATATTTTCAGTTTCTGACAACGAAAGCATTAAAATTACTGTTGACTTCATTTTCTTTTTTTAATTTCATAATTTCTTTTTTATTTTTTATTAAGAGATTTTCTATTTATTTTACATATCAACCTCAGATTATCCTGTTCTCCCTCCTCACAACCCCAGCCTTTCCCCCCAACCCACGCCCCATTCCTACCTCCTCCAAGGCAAGGTCTCCCATGGTGAATCTGCAGAGCTTGGTACATTCAGTTGAGGCAGGTCCAAGTCCCTCCTCCCTGCACCAAGGCTATGCAAAGGGACTTCATTTTCTATCACATCCCAATATGCAGATAACTAATATAAAGTCTACCATGAAAGTAGCATCCAGAGTCTCATTGTTACTGGAGTCCCAAGACAGATGTTTGACTCAGGGCCCCAGAGTCTGATGGTTCATTCCAATGACCAGATTTAGTCAGGTATCCTAAAAGTAAAACTAGGTGTAAAGCCTGATGATAAAACAAAAAAGACAATTTATTACACAGACATGAATGAACAAAAGCTAGAGATGAGAGGTTTTGCACATCTCACTGAATCTTTTTCATGCCAAGAATGTTCCCATATATCAAGGGGTCAGGGGTCATTCTCCATTCAGCATAGTCCTGGAATCATGGAATTTAAAATAAACTTAGGATTCCAGAAAAGAATGAATCATGGAGACAAAACAGCCAGGTTAATAATTGGATCCTCCTTCCTCATCACTTCTCACCACCTTTTCACTGCTATATAAGTCTGAATTATGGATTATGATTTATAAATACCACACGAAAATGTTCCTGTTTTACATCTGGTTTATAATGTTATTTCCTGAACATAGGGATAGGATCAATTACTCAAAATACTGTCTGTGTTAAGTACTCTGAAATTGATCCCTGTTTAGTTATAGTTAAACATTTCCCAGTTTTTTCAGTCAGCTATGCCCTGTTACCTTCACGGCCTCACCCCCTAATGTTCTCCTTCTCTACCTCACCTATTAATATATCCATGTAGGGGGCTCTGCCTTCAGATTTTTTTCCTCTGGTTTTTTCCTCATCCAGCATAATGTAAATTCAACTAACTTTCCTTATCTCCTTCATTCCATGTTTAAATCTCTCTTCCTAATAAGTATTACCTTGACAGCCAACCTTTATCATACAACACACCTATTTCCATGGACTTGGGAGTCCTTGTTCCCTTACCTTTTACTTTGCTTCCTTTCTTATTAGTCCCCTTTTACCTATTATGCAACTGCATTATTATACTATTTCTCTACAGCTCTATCCTTTCCTACAAAATAAATCCTTAGTGACTTTAAACACTAACCTATCCAACTGCTTCAAATATTAGATGCCACATTGTAATTAAACAAACAAAATTGATACTTTATAGGATTAAATAAACCAAAAATTGTGTTGTAAGCATGCATCAGTATTGTTAAATATCCATAAAATTAGCCAGATACTATCTAGAAGATACATTTAAAAGATTAATGCCACTGATTTAGTAGAAATATGTGTGAGGTGTGTGTGTGCATGCGTGTGTGTCTTTATGCATGCATAGTATATATTTATATTATATATGCATATAATATATGACACACACATATGTGTGTATAAATCAGGAAAGGAAAAACTGAAAAATTTTTAACTTATTTACAACTTCATTAAGTACAAACAGTTTGGTTTTTTTTGGTTTTTGGTTTTTGGTTTTTTGTTTGTTTGTTTGTTTTGTTTTTGTTTTTTTTTGGTTTTTCGAGACAGGGTTTCTTTGTGTAGTTTTGCACCTTTCCTAGAACTTGCTTTGTAGACCAGGCTGGCCTCAAACTCACAGAGATCCTCCTGCCTCTGAATCCTGAGTGCTGGGATTAAAGGCATGTGCCGCCACCACCCTGCTAAAACAGGTATAATTTATAATCTACTAGATTCTTACAGTACCTATGAATGCTAAACAACATGTTTTAAAATAATTGTAATTAACACATACTTTGGAGAATGAATTGCAGTTTTAGGAAATAGAAATATTTAGTCATATACTCCATTCACAGAACATAAAAAACGATTCAAGTTTGATGACAAAGATATATCATAATCAAATTTAATCATGCAGGAATTTGTTAATGACTGACTAGTAAGCTGGCAAAGTTCCATTTGGAGATGATTGGGTTATAAGGGATGAGAGCTTACCTGGGATAGGGACTAATTCCTGGGAATTACATGCATGACAGTAATAGCTCATAGAGGTTTATTCCACAATAATCAAACATTCAAAATAATGTAGGAGAATTCTTTGTGGTCTCTAAATAGCCTCCTGCTAGACACAGTGACTTGTTTTAGATGGTGTGGAATTTTCATCTGCGAAAAAAAAGATGTGAAAATTCATATGAATAAGAGCAAAGAAACACACAAACTTAAGTAACTAGATACATTCAGGAACAGTAGTACCAGATCCAATGAGTACACTGAATAGAGCAGGGTACATATCATGGTACATCAGACATGAGTACAGCAACACTTAGTTGGACTGACTTTATAATTCTCCTTGGAAGCCTGTATCTGAGCGTTGGGGTAGATTTAGCTCTGCCTCTTCCTTTTCAAACAGGAAGCTCATGAGGCAGGATGGATGGGAAGAAATGAGAGAAATGGCCTCCACATACCTTTTCATCAGCCTCACTCTAAATCTTATCTGGCTTATTTTGATTCTGGTCATGGTTTGCTCTTCACTCAGCCGGTCATAACTGCCTCTCCACACTTACCTAGGCCTAATATTCCAGGGTGGTAGACTCTTAAATTCTAACAAGTTTCAGATGAGTCACTATTCCTAAGTAAGTATATCTGAGCCAAGTGTTCTCAATGCTTACATTTGTGACTCACTGTTTCAGGTGAACTTTTCTCATGGAAAATTGTTTGGATAACAATTCTGAGTATAATACTGTCTGTGCTAATAGTCTTCCTCATAATTTCCTATGTTCCGCAACATGTCATACATGGTAAGTATATTTGAGTGGTGGGGAGCACAAGTGGGAGATTATCAAGGAGGTAAAGCTATCCAGTAACTGTATGCCAAGACAGTCTCCCCAGGAAGTCCTAAACTTTGGTGACATGTTACATAGGACCTTATCAAATTTGGTCCTACATTCTCTGTTTTTGCTGATAAGTTTCTCAGAATAATGGTTACAAAAGCTTGGGCAGCCTTTATTTTAACCAATTTAAACCCCTTTTACCTATGGTGACTGACATCAAAGTTGATCAGAGAGCTGTAAAGATGTAACATCTGTATGTCATCACACATGCTGGAGTGAGACATTCAGTAGTATAACTATCTTTGAATTATCGGGAATCAAGGAAATAGTGGCTTACCTGTGATACAGTAAGTAATCCCAAATAAATGCATTGGTTCACTAATCACTTATGTGGAATCTTTATTCTTTCATGAGTGCTCTATTGAAGTGAATAAACTTTGTTTTTGTCTACCCAGAAAAAGTTAGGGAGGAGTCAGTTCAAAGCATACGCAGTGTGCACACTGAGAGAGATCAACATGATGATGATCAATCTGAAGGTAAGGCATCTGCTTAGGTCAATCTCAATCTCAATATCTTTTTCCATGTGATATGGGATAATGACTTTCTTTCCTGTAGTGACAGTTGAATTCTTACTGTGATATATTATAACACATGAAACAAAGACTGAGATATCTGAGAGTAGAGCATCCATTGGGAAGGATGGTTTTAGTGTAGACATATTTCTTTATATAGTATGGCATCAGGTGGAATGCTTCATTGATAAATGGGATCTGCTTCATATGAGTAAGAGATACAGCCTAAATTCCTGGTGCACTGTATATTACAATCTCTGAAAGTAATAAATATTACAGAAGATCATAAGAAAGCTCTGTCAGCAGTTACATGCCTTCGCTGTGGCATGTAACTGCCACATGTAACTGTCTACTCAGAAAGAAATTTCCCACATGAGTGAGGGATGATTATATACAAGACATACATATATTGCTCTTCCACACTAGTCTCATATTTGTCAAGAAAGGAAAAACAAAGGAAAGATAAGAAGATGTCAACTTCCCATTTTCCACAGCTGGAAATGGGGGGGACAAGTTAGATCTTTGCTATGGAGATCTCCATGGGAACAAAATGATTTAGATTCTACTAGAAAAAAATCAAACAATATGGAAGAAGAACATGATGTGATACTGATAGAAAATCAAGTACGTATATAATCATATGTAACACTAATATCCATCAAGTTTGTTTTTTTTAATATCAGGAAAGGAAAAGCCATGAATTTATAATGTTTAGGGAATACTCTCCATCTCAGATGCTTAAAATTGAGAAGATTTAAAACAATAAATGAGTTTCTCAGAACCTAGATTGTGATGCTGTGGGACATAGGATCAGATGGGATCAATATGGGTATCCCAGAATAGGAGAAACAGTAAAGTATCTATCTATCCGGTATAACCTTAAGCAATGAAAGGACATAAGTCTGGATGAACTGTCTTAAAGGAGACACAAGTGTCTTATAATCTTCACAGACCATAGAGGCTAATTCTACTGCTGCGGGTTGTGCCAAAACTAGATGATAAGAACCTACTGCTAAAGATACTGTACACTTTGGCTACAGAACATAAAAATCAGCATAGGATAGAGATGGAAGCTCCCTTCATGACTGCTGGCTTTCATAGTGCCTGTTGATGCAATGTTGACTACTATTGTTTTCATAAACAGTTGTGGAGTGTCCACCAAATTGCATTATAAACCCAAGTGTTTCTACCCATAGAGTACTTCTGTGTAGCTAAAAGTTTTCCTGGTCCACCTGGCTCCCACGTCCCTGTGTTCCTATAACCACTCAGACCCAAGTAAACACACAGAAGTTTATATTAATTAATACTGCTTGGCCATTAACTCAGGCTTTTTATATACTGGCTCTTACACTTAAATTAACCCATAATTCTTATTAATGTTTAGCCACATAGCTTGGCAACTTTTCTCAGTTCTGCCTTCACATCTTGCTTCCTCTGTGCCTGGTTAGCAACCCCCGACTCAGCCTTCCTCTTCTCAGAATTCTCCTTGTCTTTTTATCCTGCCTATACTTTCTGCCTAGCTACTGGCCAATCAGCATTTTATTTATCAACCAATGGGAGCAAAACATTCATAGCATGCAGAGCACCATCACCCATCATTTCTGCTTTTAGAATATAGAGGAAAATTACTTTTTTGCAGTATCTGTGGAAACTCATAACTAGCCAAGCTCCTGGAAATCAGTGACTTTTGTTATGACATAGTGTCTTAAATATCAGCCATAATAAAAAAAAATTAATTGGCATCAACACAATTCTCTCCAAAATCCAGAAATGTCATGACTACAAAAGCATACAAGATCTGGAGGAAGGGGTGGAATGTTGGGTAGGTAGGTCTTTTAACTAGAAACATTTCTTCCCACAGAGTGAAGGAAGACTCAAAAAACTGTAGACAAATTTCCAAGCAGTCTTATTAAATAACAAACACAGAGCCAAATACAGAGGTAATAGCCAAAGAGATCAGATTTGCAAAGAGCCATGACTACCTTATCTTACCACCTCACCACCATCACTAACTCAAAGAGAGTTTCTTCCCATCTAACTTGTGTTTTTATTGCCTTCCTGTTCTGCCCTTCTCCTTGGCTCTAAGTCCAGCCACATGACTTCCTCATCATTGCCTGTCTATACAGACCTACATGTCCCGATACATACAGTTTGTAAGCAATATAAGTCTCTGTGTTTACTTGGTTGGGTCTGAGCAGCTGTGGGACTGGCAGGTGAGAGAGATTTGTCCTGACTGTGGGCCAGGCAGGAAAACTCTAGCTACAGTTTGGTAGTAGGATTAAAGGCTCATGTCACCACACTTGGCTGTGTCCTTGACCACACAGAGACTCTGCCTGCCATGTGATTGGATTAAGGGCATATGCTACCAATGCCTGACTCCTGTTTATGGCTATGTGACCTAGCTATGTGGCCTCTGATCTCCAGGCAAACTTTATTTATTAACATCCACATATCACATTTAAGCACAAATAAAATATCACTACATTTCCCCTTTTTATTCTAATAAAAATAAAAAGATAATTAATGGAAGAAAAACTATATACAATAAGTACAATGACTATATATAATATATACAAGCAATAAATACCTCAACAATATCTAGTCTATTTGCATTTGACAAACTCAGAGAAAATATTCCATTATCTATCCTATTTTGGTAAGTAATGTACCTGAACCACTTTCTATCCTAACTTATATTACTAACAAAGAACTATCTTATAATGTGTTTAAAATTTACACACTTACACCTCTTTAGTGAGTTTCTTTTCTGAAATTCTTAACAATGAAAACTATAACTACCTAATCTTTAACTATAACTATAAATATCTAATCTTCAACTCACTATAACTATCTAATTTTCAACTAACTATAACCATACCTATCTAATCTTCAACTCCCTCAAAGACCCAAGAAGGAAATAATATTTATTCCTAATAAAATAGGAAGTGCAAACAAGCAACTTCCAAAAAAAATGTGAGTTGACAGAAACAGCCAGCTGCCTAGACAGTCACCCAACTTATAGTCATATTAGTTGAGATATTATATATATATATATATATATATATATATATATATATATATATATATATATATATACAGATAGATAGGTAATCTTCAAACACTTCAAAGACCTACAGAATATGGCCGTTAAAATGTCTTAAAAACTTAGACTTTCCTGGACAATGAGACATGTCTGCTTCTGGCATCACCTATTTACTTCAGAGAGAAAGATGGGCATCAAAGACACTCCATATGGAGTTTATCTTCTTCTTGTAAAAAACAGCCATTTGGGGAAGAAACTATTCTTGCCTGGACTATTTGACAAAATGTTGTATTGACTGGACATGCAGGATCCATAAGAAGGTAAATACTGAATTTTGCAAGGAGAGATGGTCCTTCAGGTTCCTGATTTGCAGAAGAACCTACCAGACATTATACAGGACACCAAAAGGAGCAGCTGAGAGATTTTAGGCCTGTGGGCTGAAGATGGATGCCCCAACATTGCAAAAGAACTTTGGGTGACTGTCCAGGCAGCCAGCTATCTCTGTCATTCTAAATTTTTGGAAGTTACTTACAATTCTCTTCCTGTTTACTTAGGTAATATTATATCCTTCTGAGGACTTTGATGTAGTTGAAGACTAGATAGTTATAATTATGGTTTTTCATTGGTTTTGATAGGAGATAAGACAGATATGTAAACTTGGACTCACAAATAAAGGATAGATAGGATGTCTTCTTTGATTTTTGCCAAATACAAATAGACTAGATATTATAAATAGACTAGATATTGTAATTGTAATTCTTGCTTAATAATTGTTTTGTTATATGCAATTTTGCTATGTTAAAGTTAAAACTTTACTTTTTGATTAGACAGAAAAGGGGAAGTGCTATGGAATGTTCTGTATGCTGTTAATGTGTTGCTCTGATTGGTTGATAAATGAAAAGCTGATTGGCCTATAGCCAGGCAGGAAGTATAGGTGGGATAAACAGAAAAGAAAAATTCTGGGAAAAGGAAGGCTGAGTCTGGAGATTACAGCCTGCCATCCAGGGAGCAGCATGTAATGGCACACAGGAAAAGCCACAGAACACATGATCATATATAGAGATTAACAGAAAATAATTCACTTTACATGTAAGAGCGAATCAGAAGTAAGACTGTGTTAATGACCAAGCAGTTTTAGTTAATATAAGTCTCTGTGTGTTTGCTTGGGTCTGAGCAACTGTGGGACCATGGATCATTAGGAGCCAGGCAGGACCAGGCAAACATCAGCTACAAAAAAATTAGGAATCTAAGGAAATTAAAGGGATCAGGAAACTCACACAACTTAAAAATCTCATGATTCTCACCCTCAGTATTGCTTACAAAATCAGTAAGCAAATTGGTGAGAAAAGATT